TTCTTAACCTGAAACTGTTCTTAACCTGAAGCACCACTTTAGCTAATGGGGCCTCCTGCTGCCGCCGCGCCGCCAGAGCACGATTTCTGTTCTCATCCTGAAGCAAAGTTCTTAACCCAAGGTACTGTTTCTAGGTTAGCGAAATCTGTAACCTGAAACGTATGTAACCTGAAGCGTATGTAACCTGAGGTACCACTGTATATATAAATTAACGTAATAATAGTTCTTTTAATTATGTGATTCATAAATAATAAAAAGTGTCCTGGGGCATGGTTGGGCTCCCCCCTTTTCCGTTTTTTAAATGATGGTCTTGTGTTTTGTGTAAACAGCTTAGGGATTTCACACGTTAAGCGGCGTATGGATATTGTAAATAAATTAAAAGCGATCTCGCTTGCGTTTCCATGCCTGTGCCAGGATTCTGGGAAATGTAGCTTGCTCAGAGTACAGAAATTTGGCATGCGACCCCCTGTCCCCTTCACAGAGCTAAAATTTCACATGGTTTCCATTTGTGTGGAAATTGTAGGTCTTTATTGGGACTAGGTGATCTCCCAACAACTTTTAGCGCCCTGGACAAAACTCTACAGTTCCCAGGGTTCTTGGAGGGAGGCTGTGGCTGTTTGAAGTGGTATGATTCTGCTTTGAATATTCAGATGGGGGCCTCTTTCTGCCATCTGTAGCCACCTGAAATTCTCATTTCTGTTAACTGGCCATCTCTGGGATAGATCAGCTGGAAGAGCATGAGACACAGAATCACAGGGTTTTGGATTCGAGACTCACATTGGGCAAAGGAATGAGGAATGAATGAATCTTTATTTGCATCAGCCATCAGCCATAGCAATAAAATAACAGTACAATATACAAAGAATAGAAATAAAAAGTCAATTATATAGAATACAATTTGGGGTTTTGAATCAATAGTCAAGCAGTGAAACTTATACTGATTGCCCTAGCTAAAAACCTTGCAACCTTTGCTGTCACCTGCTCATCTTGATCTGCCAAGAGAAAGGACACTGGCAGTGGCTGGGCAACCCGGAATGGACAATTAAAGAGGGGCGATAACCTCATTCCTCAAATCTTTATAAAGAGTGCAAGCCAGCAGGGCATGCGCCACCGATTCAGTACTGCCATCTCCACAGGGACATAAGCGTTTTTCGTGTGAAATCTGTTGGAATCGTCCCTCAAGTACAGCCGAGGGCAATACATTCAATCTCGAGAGAGTAAAAGTGTGCCTATATTTTTGAATTGCTAGGTGATGCAGAGAGGGTGCCAGAGAGTTGAAATGGGAAGGTGCAAAATAGTCATACCATGGGCAAAATTTCCTTATTGTGGCCAAGTTGTTCTGACGCTCGATAACATTTAGGCGCTGACAAATTAGACCGTTTGCTTTACTAAAACCCAAAGTGAGTAGCTGTTTTGGTGATAAACCACAAGAGTTAAGTTTTTGATAGACAGTTTTAATCCAGGCGCTCTTGCGACAATCTTGCAGCACTAGGGATATTAGACCGGGGGGGATCTAAGTTTAGGTGAAGCTAATAGTTAGGTGTCCTACGCCAGATCCACATTGGGCAAAAGATTCCTGCATTGCAGGGGGTGGAGTAGATGACCGCATGATCCCTTCCAACTCTGCAGTTCTATAATTTTTCCACCCACCCACCCCTGCTAAAAATCTTTCAGTGGTTGTGTGGGCCATCTCTCAAAGTCTGGCGCAGGAACAATCTGTGGCGCTTTCAGTGCCGAAAGCCAGTCCCGGGGGCCAATTCCTCATTTAACCGAATTTTCAGCATGCATGGAATATTTCCCCCTTGCGGGCCCGCCGACAGCTTTGTCATCATCGTGAGACCTGAAAGCCTGCTCAGCTGATGCAGATCCTGTTTCCTCCTAATTTCCTGGCCTGGGCGTTGACTGGGCATGCTCCTGTCCCAGCCAATGGCAACGGGCGCATGCCTCGTGCTGAGTCATGCTTGGGTGGTGCGTTCCTCTTGGTGAATGATAGTAGGGGAAAGAATGACTCGGCCAGTTGACAGGGTCAGGACGTGAAGGCGGATTTCCATAGCCACAGAGGGAGGTCAGGTTTCAGGAAGGTCTCTGTGTGTGGGCCAACCAGCTGGAGATTAAAAATATAGCACATCAAAGCTGTTCAGATGCATAGGCTGCCGGACGCGCCTGATTTTTGGAGCATGACTGTGCTTAAAAGTTATGAGGAGAGCTGTTTTCTTGCTGCTGAGAGCCAGTGGGGTCTAGCAGTCAGAGTTTTGCACTGGGGGTGGCAAAAGAGACGGGTTCAAATCCCCACTCAGCCACAGAGCTCACTGGGCCAGTCTTGGACGAAATAATAATAATAATTGATTATTTATACCCCGTCCAAATGGTTTCCCCAGCCACTCTGGGTGGCTCCCAACAGAATATTAAGAACACAATAAAGCATCAAATATTAAAAACTTCCCTAAACAGGGCTGCTTTCAGATGTCTTCTAAAAGTCAGTTGTCTATTTCCTTGACATCTTGTGGGAGGGCATTCCACAGGGCGGGCACCACTACCGAGAAAGCCCTCTGCCTGGTTCCCTGTAACCTCACATCTCACAGTGAGGGAACCACCAGAAGGCCCTTGGAGCTGGACCTCAGTGTCCGGGCTGAATGATGGGGGTGGAAACACTCCTTCAGGTATACTGGACTGAGGCCGTTTAGGGCTTTAAAGGTCAGCACCAGAATTGTGCTCGAAAACGTACTGGGAGCCAATGTAGGTCTTTTAGGACCAGTGTTATATGGCCTCGGCGGCCACTCCCAATCACCAGTCTATCTCCCGCATTCTGGATTACCGGTAATTGTAGTTTCCAAGTCACCTTCAAAGGTACCCCATGTAGAGTGCATTGCAATAGTCCAAGCGGGAGATAATCAAGAGCATGCACCACTCTGGCGAGAGAGTCTGCGGGCAGGTAGGGTCTCAGCCTGCGTACCAGATGGAGCTGGTAGACAGCTGCCCTGGACACAGAATTGACCTGCGCCTCCATGGACAGCTGTGAGTCCAAAATGACTCCCAGGCTGCGCCCCTGGTCCTTCAGGGGCACAGTTACCCCATTAAGGACCAGGGAGTCCTCCACACCCACCCGCCCCCTGTCCCCCAAGAACAGTACTTCTGTCTTGTCAGGATTCAACCTAAATCTGTTAGCCGCCATCTATTCTCCAGACACTCACTCTCTTTCTCTCTCCATGCCACTACAGGATAATATTCTTGGCTAATGCGTTTTGCAATCCTGTCTAATGTTTGCTTGCGAAAGCTGGAACTTTTGAGCAGGGGAGAGGTTGGGTTAGGTTAGAGGCGGCTGAAATGATAACTGATCACAAAGGATAGAAAATGCCTGGCAGCAGATTACAGCATCTGTCTCATTAAGTGTTCTGCAACTAATGAGGATTAATTCACACGTGAATCCTATAAAATGAATGAGGCATCCTTTTTTATTTCCAACCACAGTGTGGTTCCCAGAGTGATATAAGAGTCAATCCCTTTTCAGGGGGAACTTTGGGAATTGTAGCTCTGTGAGAGAACTAGGGGTCTCCTAAAAAAACAACAACACTGAAGCTCACAGGGTCTCCTCAGGCCAGTCATTTGCTCTCAGCCTAACCTACCTCATAGGGTTATTGTGAGGATAAAATAAGGAAGAAGAGGAACGGTGGGATATAAATGTAAATACAGTGGGACCTTGGTTTTCGAGCGTCTCAGAAGCCGGACGTTTTGGTTTTTGAATGCCACAAACCCGGAAGTAATTGCTTCCGTTTTTGAATGCGCCTCAGAAGTTGAACAGTTTCCGAAGTGCGTTTCTCAATTGAATTTTCTGACCGCCCATTGCACCTCGGTTGTTGAACATTTCGGAAGTCGAACGGTCTTCCAGAATGGATTACGTTCAACAACCGAGGTTCCACTGTATCAATAAATAAATGTGAGGGTTGAGAGGACTGAATGTTCCTTCACAGAAGTTTCGAGAAAAGGGTTGTCGCAGAAAAGAGTTCTAGCCTAGCAGCCTCCCTGACTTGCTAGATTTCTGTGTGCAGGATTTCTGTTGTTGCTGTTGTTGTTGTTATGGAGGAGGAGCCCATTATGTTGATCACCCACTTGCAGTTTCCAATGGGATATCCCAGATCGGGTATTGCTATCTTCAGGAAGTATTCAGCTGAACCCAATATTGCCTTATTCATTTAATGTGGGAGTGTTTGAACTTCTCAGTGTTTTCTACATCTGATTTTCCACCGTGAGGACAGGATACCAGACTAGATGGGCCTTGGGCTCTTCTTATGTTATGTCCTTGCAAAACCATATCGTCTTGGTTTATATTCTCAAATAATTTGTGAACTTGGGCATGGATGCGATTTCCAATTCTTTATCATATAACGGTGGCACCTTGACACCACTGTGGTTGCTGGGGAGTAATCTCGACATTTGGATTTGGAATTGATTTTGTTATATGTATATATTTTTGAAAATCAAATAAAAATTTGTTTCCAAAAAAGAGACACCATTGGTCTCTGCTGGATGAAATACAATTGCCTCTGGTCTATTTTTTGGGAATCCCGCAATGTGTTTAAGTTTTTACTCTGCTAACTACTGTATTTTTCTCTCTATAAGACGCACCAGACCACAAGACGCGCCTAGTTTTTGGAGGAGAAAAACAAGGAAAAAAATATTCTGAATCTCAGAAGCCAGAACAACAAGAGGGATCGCTGCACAGCGAAAGCAGCAATCCCTCTTGCTCTTCTGGCTTCTGGGATAGCTGCGCAGCCTGCATCCGCTCCATAAGACGCACACACATTTCCCCTTACTTTTTAGGAGGGAAAAGTGAGTCTTATAGAGCAAAAAATATGGTATATGTTGGAATCTACTCTGGATGAATATCAAGTAGAATTTCCATGACAGACATACGCTCACCCAGGCAGAAGGCGAAAAGAGTGTTGATGCGATTCTTTTGGAAACGGGGAGTTGTCTTTATTTTGCTTTATTTTTACCCCTAGGTGGCATCGCTGGCGGCATTGAGATTTGCATTACATTCCCCACAGAGTATGTGAAAACACAGCTTCAGCTGGATGAGAAAGCAAACCCGCCCCGCTACAAAGGAATTGGTAAGTCTTCACCAGGCAGTAGGACTGAAAGCCACCAGATCTCTCAGTGTCCGTTGTCTGCTCCAAACCGATTCCCGCAAGCAAACCGAAACATGACTCTGGCCAGGCTGTTCAGAGAGGTGCCGTGGGAGAAGAGCCACATTTTGCAGGTGGATGAACGTGTGGTTATTTACTTGGTTATTTAAACAATTAAATATTGGGGTTTTGAGCCGGGATATGTACTAGCTTCATGCAGCCCTTCAAGTGGGTGGGGGCATCATCATCACCATAATAATAATAATAATAATAATAATAATAATAATAATAATAGTTTATACCCTGACCATCTGGCTGGGTTTCCCCAACCACTCTGGGCGGCTTCCAACAAAATATAAAAATGCAATGGTCTGTTAAACATTAAAAGCTTCCCTAAACAGGGCTGCCTTCAGATGTCTTCTAAAAGTCTGGTAATTGTTTTTCTCTTTGACATCTGGTGGGAGGGCGTTCCATAGGGCAGGTGCCACTACCGAGAAGGCCCTCTGCCTGGTTCCCTGTAACTTGGCTTCTCGCAGGGAGGGAACCACTGCCAGTTTTGTATCCTGTGAGTAGATTACAGTCTCTTGGGAATTGGACTTCCCTGTGCTAGAAGAAAGGACACCGTAGCAATGGTTGAGGGACCCAACATGGACAATAGTAGAGGGGTAATAACCTTAATGTGGGACGTGGGTGGCGCTGTGGGTTAAACCAGTGTTTCCCAACCGGTGTTCCGCGGCACACTAGTGTGCCGCGAGATGTTGCCTGGTGTGCCGCGAGCGAGTCCAAAAAAGGTTGGGAAACACTGGTTTCTCTTTCAAAAAGGAAACGTGGGTTAAAGCGGCGCCGCCGCCTCCCACTCACTTTCCTGCTCTGGCTTCCCTAACAGTTTTCCGAGTTGCGTCACTGGATCCAGCCCCCTTTTCCACATGTGACACGGGGCTGGAGGGAGGGAAAGAGGGCTTTACGTCGCGCACAAAGGCAGCCTCCTAGAAGCGCTCTGGGCCGGCGCCGTTTCGCCGAAGGACCCCCACCCTCAGCTCCTTCAGAAAGGAAGCCCCGCCCCTCGGCTCCCTACGCCGCCAGGCAGCTCAGCTGACTGACGAGGACGTTCTGCGGCGGCCGCACAACCACCGCAGTTGCTGGCAGCGTCCGCAGCGCAATAAGTAACAGCGCCTGGTGCTGCCAACTCTTTCTCTCTCTCTCCCGCCCCGCCCCCAAGCTCTCGCGCGCCCCGCGTCAACATCGCCGCGCGCAGCTTCCCGAGCTCGAGGCCAGCCGCTGCACGCACGCGCCGGCTCGTCATCGGCTCCGGTTGTTGCCTTTCTCCGCCGAGGTCGGTGGACCCCGAGCCTAGGCTTCCTTCCCGCACCCCGCTTTCCGAAGACCGCACACCAGTTGGGCCAGTACATATTCCCCTCCCGTGACTGGAGCGGAATAGCCCTTTCTCTTCTTCCCCAACCCTTGTCGTTGGAGGAGTCCCTCAGTCCCTCGCTTTGCTGCCTCCTCCCCCCCCCACCCCCAAAGCTTGGAGGTTCCCCGGCAAGGGGGAGGGAAAAAAATTGAAAGTTACACTTTTGTGCGTCCCTTCCGGCGTGACGCTGCGCGCTGACGTCACGGGGCTGTAATGGTGGTGTGCCTCGAGATTTTTTTCATCAAACAAGTGTGCCTTTGCCCAAAAAAGGTTGGGAAACACTGGGTTAAACCACAGAGCCTAGGACTTGCTGATCAGAAGGTCGGCGGTTCGAATCCCTGCAATGGGGTGAGCTCCCGTTGCTCGGTCCCTGCTCCTGCCAACCTAGCAGTTCGGAAGCACGTCAAAGTGCAAATAGATAAATAGGTACCGCTGTGGCGGGAAGGTAAACGGCGTTTCCGTGCGCTGCTCTGGTTCGCCAGAAGCGGCTTAGTCATGCTGGCCACATGACCCAGAAGCTGTACGCTGGCTCCCTCGGCCAATAAAGCGAGATGAGCGCCGCAACCCCAGAGTCGGCCACGACTGGACCTAATGGTCAGGGGTCCCTTTACCTTTACCTTTTTAATAACCTTAATCCTCAAATATTTATAAAGAGTGCAAGCCAGAAGCACATGAGCCACTGACTCAATACTGCCATCTCCACAGGGACACAACATTTTTTCCAGTGGATTTTTTTGGAAATCGACCCTCAAGTACAACCGAATCTTGCAAAAGTGTGCCTGTATTTTGGAATTGTTTAAATTTTGCAAATAGGGTGCCAAAGTGTCAAAATGGCTAAGTGGAAAATAATCATACCATGGACAAAATTTCCTTATTGGACGCCGCAGGTCATGGTGTGTGTGTGTGGGGGTGTTTCCACCCCCTCCCTTATTTATCCAGCCCAAGGAAACAAAGCCGTTCAGGACCACCCTGTCCCTTGCGGCGTTCACCGGTGGCGTGCAATGTAGCCGCTCAGTTGAGCCTGACGGATGTCCCCTCACCCCCCCCTTAATATAGCCTTGAGCTCTGACCGTTCTACCATACGATAGCAAGAAGGAAAGGAGCGACCGGGGACCTCGTGTGCTGCAGGCAGTGGCTCGATGACTCATCGCCTAGCCTGTTTTCCCGGCTGACTCGCTAAGGAGGTTGGCGGCGTTCCAGCCCGGCTGGAGCGTGCCAGATTTGCAACCGATGAGACACGCTGTGCTGCAGAACCCCTTTAGCGGCTTGGCAAAGGCATCACTCTGCAGGTAGCAGCGACACAGGGGCTGGTTGCAATACGGAGCCATGGCAAGGATATGGAGAGTCGTGCAGGAAGAGCTGTGTGCCCACGTTAAATTCGTGCACAGAGAAAAGGGGTCGTTGAAGTGGGCTTTGTGCTGTTCTGGTGTCCCGCTGCTCTTCATGTTCCATCTTCCCTCCCTGTCCCTCTGACGTAGCCAGGAACACACGGTTTAAAAGCAAGGGCTCGAGGGTAGCCAAGGATACGGAGCAGTTCTGATTTGGCAGGATAAACACTCGGCTCCCCTTGTAGGTCATCACAGGAGAGGCTGATGATTTTTTGGCCTGACGTGGCCTGCTTTGCAAACTCTCCACAGGGCCGACCTTGACCACCCTGCAGAGAGCTAGTGAGCCGAAGCAGTAGAAGCTGGTTTATATCAGGTCAGACTCTTTGTCCATCTAAAGCAGTGTTCCCCAACCTTGGGCCTCCAGCTGTTTTTGGACTACAATTCCCATCAACCTTGACCACTGTTCTTGCTAGCGAGGGATGATGGGAGTTGTAGTCCAAAAACAGCTGGAGGCCCAAGGTTGGGGAACACTGATCTAAAGGTAAAGGGACCCCTGACCCCAGAGGACGACTCTGGGTTTGCGGTGCTCATCTCGCGTACAGCTTCCGGGTCATGTGGCCAGTAGGACTAAGCCGCTTCTGGCGAACCAGAGCAGCGCACGGAAATGCCGTTTACCTTCCCGCTGGAGCGGTACCTATTTATCTACTTGCACTTTGGCGTGCTTCCGAACTGCTAGGTTGGCAGGAGCAGGGACTGAGCAACGGGAGCTCATCCATCGCGGGGATTCAAACCACGGACCTTCTGATCGGCAAGCCCTAGGTTCTGTGGTTTCACCACAGCGCCACCGGCGTCCTCTCTTTGTCCACCTAGCTGTGGTCTAAACCACTGAGCCTCTTGGGCTTGCTGATTGGAAGGTCAGCGGATCGAATCCCTGCAACAGAGTTGTTGTTGTTGTTGTTGTTATTAATTATTGATTATTTATACTCCGCCCATCTGGCTGGGTTTCCCCAGCCACTCTGGGCTGCTCCCAACAGAATATTAAGAATACGATAAAGCATCAAACATTAAAAACTTCCCTAAACAGGGCTGCCTTCAGATGTCTTCTAAAAGTCAGATAGTTGTTTATTTCCTTGACATCTGATGGGCGGGTGTTCCACAGGGCGGGCACCACTACCATTGCTCTGTCCCAGCTCCTGCCAACCTAGCAGTTTGAAAGCATGCCAGCGCAAGTAGATAAATAGGTACCAGTGTGGCGGGAAGGTAAATGGCATTTCCGTGCTCTCTGGTTTCCGTCATGGTGTTCTGTTGCGCCAGAAGCGGTTTAGTCCTGCTGGCCACATGACCCAGAAAGCTGTCTGTGGACAAATGCCGGCTGCCTCGGCCTGAAAGCGAGATGAGTGCCGCAACCCCAGAGTTGCCTTTGACTTGACTTAACTGTCCAGGGGTCCTTTACCTTCTTTACCTTTACCATGTCCACACCATACAGCTAAAGCATTGTGGTCCCACTTTGAGCAGCCACAGCTCCCTCCAGAGAATCCTGGGAGCTGTAGCATGCTAAAGGTGCTGAGAGGCCCCCCTATTCCCCTTACAGAACTACATTTCCCAGAGTCCCCTGGGAAGAGGGATTGATTGTTAAACTGCTTCAGGATTTGTGAGGGGAATAATAGCTCTCAGGAGCCTTAAACCACAGCTTTCAGAATCCTTTGGGGGAAGCCACGACTGTTTAAATGGCTTTCAATAGTGCATTATAAATGTATGCCCTTTTTTCTGCCCACTCTCCCTTCCCGTTTTTGTTTTATTTTCTGTATACATTCTGTATACATTTCTGTATACACATATATCCAAGGAGGGATATATGTGTTTTTGGAAGGCGGGGTGGGATGAGTGTTTTGTTTCGTTTTTTAACTATTCGTTTTGCATTTTTTTATCCTGTATTTTTACCTTGTGAACCGCCCTGAGACCTTCAGATGAAGTTTAATAAATAAATAACCTGCCTTACAAGGCTGTTGTGGGGATCAAATGAAGAGGGGAATCATAGAATCAGAGTTGGAAGGGCCCTGGGCGGTCATCTAGTCCAACCCCCTGCAATGCAGGAATTTGCTGTCATCCTATGTGGGGATCAAACCTGCAACCTCAGCGTTAGCAGCAGCACACTCCAACCATGTACGCCACCATTGAGCTCCTTGGAGGAAAGGCAGATTATAAATGCAATAAATTACTAAAATGGCCTACGTGGATTTAAGAATTGGTTCAGGAAATAGAATTTTTTCCCCTCTCCTCCTTAGCGCAGAAATTGGATTGCCTTGAGTACAGAACGTCTAACTTGTTTAGGGCGCATTGCACGCAGTCCTCAGAAGTGAGAAGAGATGAGAATCTTTCTTAATTACGGCCCAGCAAAAAAAAATCCCAGTTTGATTCTTGTTATTCATCTCGGCCTCGTGAAAAGCCAGATCTAATTGCAAAGACAGAGTACGTAGCTGATGATAAGTGTCTAGGGATGACAAACCCTTCCAAGGAGACCGAAAGAAGTAGCTACGTTTAGACAAGATTTATTTCAAGGCTGCGTGTGGATGGGGATTTGTTGCCGGTAAAAAATATATATACTTTGTTTTAAAATCTCAGAAGAAATTAAAATGGGGAACAGCCATTTGCTGAAGTTTATGGACCAAGAAGCAGGAGAGTTCAGACCCAGGAAAGTTGGCCTTTTTTAGACTAGGAAAAGCATTTTTAAAAAATAAGAGAAATTCAGCAGTGGCTAAGCTGCCTCAGTTCCTTCTAGAACATTCATCCTAAAAAATAATAATGTTAGCCTGGCATCTGCTGAGGGAATCATAGTTGGTGAGCTTCTCAGGGTTATTAGTTCCAGTTCTGCTTATTTAGGCAGACACCAATTTTTCTTCAGACCTCCATGTTGTTTTGTATAGGACAGCGAAAGGGAATCTGTGCTGGTGAACTCCAGCTCCCATCAGCCTCAGCTAGGTCAGCTAATACTGAGGGATGATGGGAAATGTAGTCCTGCAAAAACTCAGAGGGCTACATGTTTCCCCATACATGGTATAGGATTCGGGGCCCATCTGCACTACCCGTTTAAAGTGCTACGATACCACTTTATAAACAGTTATAAACAATACTCCCGGGGAATATAGTTTGCTATTGCTGCTGAGCGTTATTAGGAGATCGTTCCCCTCGCAGACCTACAATTCTCAGAGTGGTGTAGCAGGGAACCCCTCTTCCCAGGGAATTCTGGGAGTTATAGTTCCCTGAGCAGTTTTTAATGGGAAGTTTTTAATGACTGATGTTTTAATGTATTCTTAATATTTTGTTAGAAGGGACACGGGTGGCGCTGTGGGTTAAACCACAGAGCCTAGGGCTTGCTGATCAGAAAGTCGGCGGTTTGAATCCCCGCGATGGGGTGAGCTCCCGTTGCTCGGTCCCTGCTCCTGCCAACCTAGCAGTTCGAAAGCACGCCAGTGCAAGTAGATAAATAGGTACCGCTCCGGCAGGAAGGTGAACGGCGTTTCCGTGCGCTGCTCTGGTTTGCCAGAAGCAGCTTAGTCATGCTGGCCCGGAAGCTGTACGCCGGCTCCCTCAGCCAATAAAGCGAGATGAGCGCCGCAACCCCAGAGTCAGTCACGACCGGACCTAATGGTCAGGGGTCCCTTTACCCTTTTAATATTTTGTTCAAAACCGCCCAGAGGGGCTGGGGAAACCCAGCCGGATGGGCAGGGTATAAATAAATTATTTTATTTTTATTGTTATTGTTATTTGTTAATATTTTCATTTATTTATTTATTTATTACATGGGGTCTTCTAACAGCTCTCAGCAAACTGCAGTTCCCAGAATTCTCTGGGGGAAGCCATGGCTGCATAAAACTTCTGCAGATGAGGCCTATATGTTAAGCAGGGATTTGTTTCACTGGATTTATTTCTCTCCACTTGGCAATATATATTTCTGGTGTGGGCTGGGCATATGTTCTTGTTGAAGTATGAAGCAGTATTATCAGCAATAAATCGTTCCCCAGTCACGTTACTCTTTTTCTCCTTTTTCAGCGGACTGTGTCAAGGTGACCGTCCGAGATCATGGGATCAAGGGGCTCTATCGTGGCCTCAGCTCTCTGGTTTATGGTTCCATACCGAAAGCCGCCGTGAGGTAATCACTTTTGGATTTTTATTCATTTATGTAGTAGTAGTAGTAGTAGTAGTAGTAGTAGTAGGGACGCAGGTGGCGCTGTGGGTTAAACCACTGAGCCTAGGACTTGCCGATCAGAAGGTCAGCGGTTTGAATCCCCGCGACTGGGTGAGCTCCCGTTGCTCGGTCCCTGCTCCTGCCAACCTAGCAGTTCGAAAGCACTTCAAAAGTGCAAGTAGATAAATAGGTACCGCTCCGGCGGGAAGGTAAACGGTGTTTCCGTGCGCTGCTCTGGTTCGCCAGAAGCGGCTTAGTCATGCTGGCCACATGACCCGGAAGCTGTCTGCGGACAAACGCCAGCTCCCTCAGCCCATAGAGCGAGACGAGCGCCGCAACCCCAGAGTCAGTCACGACTGGACCTAATGGTCAGGGGTCCCTTTACCTTTACCTTTTAGTAGTAGTAGTAGTAGTATTGGACTTCTTAGTCACTTTTTAAAATACAAAATGTATATTGGAATTTGGGCTAAGTTGCTCAGAGACTCCTTAAAGCAATGAAGGATGAACAAATTGAATAAATAATACAATAATGGCAAGAGCAGCGTGTTCTCTTCTCCCCAACCCTCAGCTTTCACGAGCCGTCACCTTTCTCTTTCCAGGTTTGGCATGTTTGAATTCCTCAGCAACCACATGAGAGATGCAGAAGGGAAGTTGGACAGCAAACGAGGGCTCCTGGCTGGCTTGGGGGCTGGCGTGGCTGAAGCGGTGCTTGTGGTGTGCCCTATGGAAACCATAAAAGTAAACACAACCAAAAACACGCACACAAAATGTGGTGTTTGTTTGCTTATTTCTTTGTTTGTTTGTTTTTGGGTTGATTAAATGTGTATCCAGCTTTTCAAGAACTTCTCCACAAAGTAGTTTACACAAACACACACAGACACACACACACACACACACACACACACACACACACGTGTGTGTGTGTGTGTGTGTGTGTGTGTGTGTGTGTGTGTGTGTCTGAAATAATCATCAAATAGGAAGTTGCCCTTATCCCAAATGAGATCATTGGTTGATCTGTCTCAGTGGTGTTGATACCATGTGGTGCCAAACTAAGTCCTGCTCATAGCAGACCCATTGAAATGAATGGACCTAAGTTTGTTGTGTCCATTAATTTCAGTAGAATACAAACTGCTGACTGGGTATAGCTGGCGATCTAATGCTGGTGTACTGGAAGAAGCAAAGATCACTAGTGTCAAAGCAATTATTCTTCAACATCAACTTTGTTGGACTGGTCATGTTGTGCGGATGCCTGATTATTGTCTTCCAAAGCAACTACTCTATTACAAACTTAAAAATGGAAAGCGTAGTGCTGGTGGGTCAACAAAAGAGGTCTAAAGACTCTCTCAAGGCAAATCTTTAAAAAAAGTAGTATAAATACTGACAACTGGGAAACGCTGGCCTGTGAGTGCTCCAATTGGAGAACAGCCTTTACCAAAGGTGTCATGGGCTTTGAAGACACTCAAACTCAGGATGAAAGGGAGAAACGTGCTAAGAGGAAGGCACGCTTGGCAAATCCACACCATGACCAATGCCTGCCCAGAAACCTATGTCCCCACTGTGGAAGGATGTGTGGATCCATAATTGGCCTCCACAGTCACTTAAGGACTCACTGTTAAGACCGTGTTTATGGAAGGCAATCTTACTCAGCTACGAGTGATCGCCAAGGAAAAGATTGCTCTCTAGGGATTCTGACATTCCCATCTCCTACCTGGGGGGCAGGTTTATTGGGTTGTTTTAGTGTTTTAGTTTTTATTATGTATTTTGTGTTCCTATATTGTGATTTTATGTTGTAACCGCCCTGAGACCTGCGGGTATAGGAAGGTATACAAATTAAATTGATGATGATGATGATGAATAATACCTGAAGATAGAATCTGAGAGATTAAGGAGCTAAGAAGTTCCTTGCTGGGTCAGGCTGCAGATGCCCATCTTAGTCCATTATCCTGTTCTCCCAGTGGCTAACTAGATGCCATGGGAAGCCCACAACCTAGCATGCTGCCTTCTGCTGAGTCAGACCATTGGTCTAATATACCGCAGTATTTTCAGGCAGGGGTCTTTCTTCTTAGCCCCAGCTGGAGATGCCAGGGACTTGTTCCTGGGATCTTCTGCGTGCAAGACGGATGTTCCAACACCGAGCTATGTCCCTTCCCTATTTAAAACACACGCTCTCTTGCACACACATCCTCACACACTGTTTAAGCTGCTGCACACAAACACAGATATGCCGAATGAATGACCTGTTTGGGAAAGGGCAGAACAGCAACCTTCTGAAGACGTGCAGTTGCAGCAAAATAAATGCCTTTTCACGGGGCGGTTTCCCGTACAGCTCCCAAGGGGGGGGGGAGATGCGTGAATCTTTTGTGAAGTTGCACATCAGGCTGAGCATCAGGGACTTTCTAACATCAGAACCCACCTTGTGGTGAACAGCAAACATTGCAAGGGCATTTCCCACCCATCTCCCTCCTCTTATTGGGTCTGGCCATCTTTGTTATCTGGGCTTGGGAGAAAGAACCTCATCTTCTGATGCAAATTGCCACACAGAAAGAGAAACGGGAGCTTGCCGCCTTTAGAGTGCATGTGAAAAGTTCTGGAGGTTAAAACAGCATCATCGCCATTAACAAACTACAGTTCTCAGGGAGTTTTTTTCCCACCACTTGTGTGCTCTTGTTGTGTGAGTGATGGGCTACAGAATGCAGCTGCCCCTTTCGAAAACAACCCAGTCTAGAAGAGGCTGAGTGAGTTTAAAAATCTCTCTTGACTTGCCAGTAAGTGACCTGGTGGCTGTTCCTCCACAGGTGAAGTTCATCCACGATCAGTGCTCTCCGCAGCCAAAATATCGAGGTTTCTTCCATGGGGTGCGGGAGATCATTCGGCAACAAGGTGAGACCTGGTGTTTGTTAGCAGGGAGACTTCCTTGGCAAGGAGAACTTTGGGGGTTTGCATAATTGGGAACGAGAAAGGAGCTGTCTGCCTTCAAATCACAAGTACGTGAAGCTTCAGATCTTTCAGTTTGGGGTTTCTTGAATGCTCTTTTGCTTGTATCAGGGATGGGGAACCTGTGAGCCTCCAGATCTTGTTGCTACTTCTGGTCCAATGGCCATAAAATGAAGGGGAACAATTAAGAGCCAATATGACTTAATGATTAGGGTGCTGGACTAGGACCTGGGAGACCTGGGTTCAATTTCATACCCCCTGCAATGCAGGAATCTTGCCCATAACCACTGCTAGGTGGCCTTGAACCACCCACCTTCTGGCTAACGTCAGGCACACTGATCCATTGCATCTGCAACTGGCTGCCCACCCACCGCCAAGCCCAGGGTCAAGGTTCTTGTATTCCTTTACAAAGCCCTAAACGCGGGTGGCGCTGTGGGTTAAACCACAGAGCCTAGGACTTGCCGATCAGAAGGTCAGCGGTTTGAATCCCTGCGACGGGGTGAGCTCCTGTTGCTCGGTCCCGCTCCTGCCAACCTAGCAGTTCGAAAGCACGTCAAAGTGCAAGTAGATAAATAGGTACCACTCCGGTGGGAAGGGAAACGGCGTTTCTGTGCGCTGCTCTGGTTTGCCAGAAGCGGCTTCGTCATGCTGGCCACATGACCCGGAAGCTGTACGCCGGCTCCCTCGGCCAATAAAGCGAGATGAGCGCCGCAACCCCAGAGTCGGCCATGACTGGACCTAATGGTCAGGGGTCCCTTTACCTTAAACAACTTCAGTCCCTGGGTACCTCAGCGGCCACCTGAACTCATATGTGTCAAGTCACTGTGATATCACCTGCTGGAGCTTTGTTGATCATTACCTAAGTTGGCAAGGCTTATTTGACAAGAACACGGAACCGAGGCTTTCGTGTCGTGAGCCCAGCTTTATGGGAACACTCTTGCCAATAGAGACTCAGCAGGCACCTTCTGTTTCAGCATTTAAACGCCTGCAGAAATCTTTTCTATTCCGTCGGGCTTATGCAAGCAGTGAAGAATAACATCTCTTTCCACAACAGTTGGCTGATTCTTGATTTTAATTTTTCATGGGACTTTTATGTACAGTTGTTGTGAACTGCTCTGGTATTTTCTTTACGAGTCAGTGACTTATAAATGTTTTCATAAACAAACAACAGTGTGGTTTCCCTGCTGCCTTATTCTTCCTCCTGATCTTCTTTTTCTTTTTGCTGCAGGCCTCAAGGGAACTTACCAAGGTTTAACAGCGACTGTCCTGAAACAGGGATCCAACCAGGCTATTCGCTTTTTCGTCATGACAGCCCTCAGGAATTGGTACAAAGGTATTTGGAACCACCTTTTCAGATATCATCTTTCTTCTTCTGGGCGGTAATCTGAATGGTGTCCCAGATCTTCTAGGCTTTTGCTGTGGCAAAAAGAATAATATCCAAGCGGACACCTGGGTTTTCTTTTCCCAGCATGCACTGGTGCCGGTCACCAGCTTCTGTCCCACGTATCTGGAGTAGGGATGGAGAATATTTTTCAGCCTGAGGGCCACATTCCCTGCTGTGCAGCTTTTCAGAGGCCACAGGCCAGCAGCGGTCCAGTGGCGTAAGCATGCTGAACAACCAATGTGAATGTTCACCTTTGTATAGTAGACTAGTTTCTACGTTTCTCGTTTCTAGTTTCTCGAGCCTCCATTCAGACAAGCAAAAGGCATGAGCAGGGTTCAAGGACCACATCCCAGCAAGGCAGAAACATTCGATTTGATGTTTTTATATGCTGCTTGCCAGTTAGAGAACAGTGTTTTGTCTTTTATTTTTATTTTATTTTTTAGGAGTTTAAACATTTTAGGTCATATGTACACGTATAACAGTAAAAGAGCAGTACGATACCAGTAACAACATAAACCAGAAATGTTGGAGATAGTAGACAACATGCTGGAACAGAGAACAGTGTTAGTGGGTGGCTTTATATATAAAATAGGTAAAGGTAAAGGGACCCCTGACTATTAGGTCCAGTCGCAGACAACTCTGGGATTGCGGCGCTCATCTCGCTTTACTGGCCGAGGGAGCCGGCGTACAGCTTCCAGGTCATGTGGCCAGCATGACTAAGCCGCTTCTGGCGAACCAGAGTAGCACACGGAAATGCCGTTTGCCTTTCCGCCGGAGCGGTACCTATTTATCTACTTGCACTTTGACGTACTTTTGAACTGCTAGGTTGGCAGGAGCAGGGACTGAGCAACGAGAGCTCACCCCGTTGCGGGGATTCGAACCGCCGACTTTCTGATCGGCAAGTCCTAGGCTCTGTGGTTTAACCCACAGCGCCACCCGCATCCCTTCATATATAAAATAATAGCATGTAAATAACATACTGTTTTTTTGCAGCTGAGCCACTTAGGGGCGCTGTTCACCCAGCTTCCTGTTCAGTGTTGCATAGCTGAGTGGCGAGCACAAGACCCCCCAAAATTATGCCCACCTATTCATTTTTTTCTGTATTTTTAAATCCACCTTTGGAGAAAGTGCTATTCTAAAAATAAAATAGATTCCCTTAACTCAGGGGTGGTGGTGGTGGGGAAGACACCCCACATTTAACAAAAAGCAGGTCTTTAGATCCAGATAAACTCAGTGCTTCTCCTCTGCTCTTGGAGTCAATTGAGTGTTCTCTACCTTTAAACAAAAAACAAAAAACCTGCAGTTTCCTATAGATACAGTAGCTCGGTTGGTTAGAGTGTGCTGCCAATAACAGGCTGCCAATTAGTTTTCGGGATTCAGTGCTGGTTTTGACCTATTGAGACTTTGGTGGCTCCCAATACCTCAAACATTGCCTCTCCCCACGTGAATCAGATCAGAAACTGAGTCCATCATCAGAGGCCCTTCTTCATGTGCTCTCCGTGAAGGAAGTGCTGAAAGTGGCAGCAGAATGAGGGGCCTTTTCAGTGTTGGCTCCCTGCTCTGCAAGGGAGCACATCTGGCACCAGTGTTGTGTCATTTTAGGTGCCAGATGAAAACATCCTTGTTTACCCAGGCATACGGTTTTTAGTTGGGGGATAGGTTGATATATGGGTGGCCTTTGTTGTGCTTATCTGTTAAGTTAGGTGGCTGGGACTTGTTCCTTTGCAAAAGGTTCTCAGATCAGTGTTTAAGTTTTTAGTTTGTTGCTGGTTTGAATGCCTTTGTTTTATTTTTACTGTGTAAGTCACTTTGAGGTGCTTAAGTGCAATATTGCAACTAATAAAGTCTATTTACCATATTTTTTGCTCTATAAGATGCACCTTTCCCCTCCTAAAAAGTAAGGGGAAATGTGTGTGTGTCTTATGGAGCGAATGCAGGCGGGAGGCTCTGTCAGCGCTCCCTTTAAAGAGCCGCATGGAGCATGTGTGCGGCTCTTGGGGGCTTTTCCCCATGAAGGCACCCCTTGCCTGGGAGAGGTTGCACGCGGTAAAGAGGAAGCCAGGACAGCGAGCGGGATCCCACTGGCTGTTCCAGTTTCTGGCTTAGCCACGCGAAGCCTCCGCAGGGGAGTGGGGAGCCTGCATCCCGCTGCCCTGTGGAGGCTTCATGCGGCTATCCCTGGCTTTTGCGGGAGGTGGGGGAAGGGACAGAGCGTGCGGCTCTGTTCCTTCCCCCACCTCCCAGAAAAGCCCCCAAGAGCCGCGCTCCCTTTAAAGAGCACGTGGCTCTTGCGGGAGGAAAGCCAGTAGGCTTGCTTTCGCTGAAGCCAGGAGGGCAAGAGGGATCGGTCCTGGCTTCAGGGGTGGCCCCGCAAAGCCTCCTGGGCGAAGATGGAGGAGCACTCCCTCTTCGCTCAGGATGCTTTGCGTTCCTTTCTTATTTCTTGTTTTCCTCCCCTAAAAACAATCTTCCGGTGCGTCTAATATGGTATTTATTATTTATTATTAGTATTATCAACATTATCATCGTCATGAGAGGCAGGGTGTTGTAGTGGTTAGAGTGTCAGGCTAGGACCTGGGGGACCAGGGTTCGAATCCCCACTGGGCCATGAAGCTCCCTGGTTGACCTTGGGCCCATCACTCACTCTCAGCCTAAAGTAGCTTGCAGGTTGTTGTGGGAATTAAATAAGGATTGGGAGAGCCACCTTCAGCTCCTTGGAGAAAAAGGTGGGAGATAAATGCAAACAACAGCAGCAACATGCACTTTTTAAATTCAAGCCAGGTTTCCATTTCAGAGTGAGTTGACTCTTGACACTTTTGTTTTCTGCTGTGTTTCCTCTCACGCCTCCTCCTCATCTTCCTTCCCCTTCCCCTTCTAGGAGATAATCCAAATAAAGCCATCAACCCGCTTGTCACTGGGTTGTTTGGGGCGATCGCCGGTGCAGCCAGCGTCTTTGGCAACACGCCACTGGATGTCGTGAAGACCAGGATGCAGGTATGCCCAAATCTCTAAACTTCTCTTCAAGGGAAACCTGTAGGTCAGATTCACTCTGGGAGCCAGTGTGGTGTAGTGGTTAAGAGCGGTAGTCTCGTAATCTGGTGAACCGGGTTCGCGTCTCCGCTCCTCCACCTGCAGCTGCTGGGTGACGTTGGACTAGTCACACTTCTCTGAAGTCTCTCAACCCCACTCACCTCACAGAGTGTTTGTTGTGGGGGAGGAAGGGAAAGGAGAATGTTAGCCGCTTTGAGACTCCTTAGGGTACTGATAAAGCGGGATATCAAATCCAAACTCTTCTTCTTCTTCTTCTTCTTCTTCCAACTGGGCCATATTTGAATGGTGGGCATGGCCAGAGGCAAAGAGAGTGGGAGTTAAAAAATGCATTATACCTGCACTCCTTTATATAAACGTGAGTGGGAATGGCACACGAGAAAGGGAAAGCCCAATCATAGGAGTGTGGCAGGGTGGATCAAAAGGATTGACAGGTGACGTCAGGTGGTGGCCTATGTGGGTGGAGTTTGCTAGAAATGAAGGGGCTGGAGGGGCAGATTAAGCCCAGGAACCAGAGGTTCCCCACCAGGTAATTAATCCCTATATATGCCTGATCTTTCTGCGTGTTCTGACCTTTCATACTGCATCACCGTATGGTACGCTGGTTTGACATCAACAGATAGGAAGTGCTGATGAATACAGCACAAGATACTATGGGCTGTCCCGTGAATCTGCTGGATGAAACAGGGGAAGAACGTTGCCACAGGAGAGTGAGGAAGATTCTCAGGGATGATTCACACCCTGGCCGGCACTTTCTTGATCTCCTGCCTTCAGGCAGAAGATATAGAAGCATGATTAGTTGCACCAACAGGGTAAAGAATAGCTTCTATCCGTGGGCTGTTAGGCTGCTGAATGAAAAGATAACAACAAGGCAACTGACTTTCGGGTTTGGTGGGTGTGCGTCAGTAAACGAGGGGAATTAAGACTAAGAGAGCTGAGTGAGGGGTGCTCGTGTAATCTCACTGTATACAAATTGTACAAGTGACAATAAAGTATTTCAATTCAATCTCTCTCTCCCCCTGCCAATCTTCTTATACAGGGCCTGGAGTCTCACAGGTACAAGAGCACTTGGGACTGTGCCTATCAGATTATGAAATATGAAGGACCTCTTGCGTGAGTGTCTCTTGGTTTTATATTTATCTAATTATTTAGAACATTTGTGCTCCACTCTTCAGCCCAAAAGCCTCCCAGCATGGCTTGCCTATTCAGTGGTACCTCAGGTTAAGTACTTAATTCATTCCGGAGGTCTGTTCTTAACCTGAAACTGTTCTTAACCTGAAGCACCACTTAAGCTAATGGGGCCTCCTGCTGCCGCTGCGCCGCCAGAGCACGATTTCTGTTCTCATCCTGAAGCAAAGTTCTTAACCTGAAGCACTATTTCTGGGTTGGCAGAGTCTGTAACCTGAAGCGTATATAACCTGAAGCGTATGTAATCCGAGGTACCACTGTAGAGGCCACTCCCCATTTATGTGTGTTCAAGTGACTGTGTGGATCGCTGTGAACCTGGAAGTGGCACTTTTAAAGGGGCGGAAAGGCCCTCCCCCAAAAAAAGAGCACATAAACGGCAAGAACGGTTACAAAAACTGCATCTAGCAATCCCACGAGAGCTTTGCAAGTGCAATCCCATGAGCCTTTGAGGCCTGTGGAGAGTTGGAGCTTGATCAAGGAGGTTTGGAGGGAGTCCAGAAAGCGCTTCAGAACGTAACCCCTGTGTAAATGGGAAGTTGCCTATACACAAGTAAAGCAAGACCGCCCCTTGCCCACAGACATACCATCTAAAAGACATGACACACAAGGAAAAACAGGCAGGGAGGGAAGAAGGGCAGAGTGGTACATGCTCTGGTTATCTCCCGCTTGGACTACTGCCATGCGCTCTACGTGGGGCTACCTTTGACGGTGACCCGGAAACTACAACTAATCCAGAATGCGGCAGCTAGACAGGTGACTGGCAATGGCCGCCGAGGCCACATAACACCGGTCCTGAAAGACCTACATTGGCACCCAGTACGTTTCCGGGCACAATTCAAAATATTGGTGCTGAGCTTTAAAGCCCTAAACGGCCTCGGTCCAGTATATCTGAAGGAGCATCTCCACCCCCATCGTTCTGCCCGGACACTGAGGTCCAGCTCCAAGGGCCTTTTGGCGGTTCCCTCGCTGCAAGAAGCCAAGTTACAGGGAACCAGGCAGAGGGCCTTCTCGATAGTGGCGCCCTCCCTGTGGAACGTCCTCCCATCAGATGTCAAGAAAATAAACAACTATCCGACTTTTAGAAGACATCTGAAGGCAGCCCTGTTTAGGGAAGTTTTTAATGTGTGATGTTTTATCGTGTTTTTAATATTCTGTGGGGAGCCGCCCAGAGTGGCTGGGTATAAATTATTATTATCAAGTCAATTGTTCTTGTAATGGCCAGCTGGTGCAGTCCAGGGTTAGGGAGTTCCTGATGGAGCTGGTCTTCCACAGCAGAGCTGTTGGAGTGAACCCTTTCCCCCCCCCATCTTTCCCATTGACTCCATCTGACGCTCTGCTCTCTGGTGACGGTTGAGGGAGAGGAGGCCCAAGCTGCCTTGCTTGTTTCTCGGACAAACAGCTCTAACCGCTATACCATACTGTCTCTTGGTTGGGTCACCTCTCCCCAAAGCTTGCTCGGATTCTCTGAAATGCCCCTTTTTCACCCCCCTCTGTCCATTCCTCTGCAGGTTTTACAAGGGCACGATCCCCCGCCTGGGCCGGGTCTGCTTAGACGTGGCCATTGTGTTCATCATCTACGACGAAGTCGTCAAGGTACTCAACAAGGTGTGGAAAACGGACTGAGCGCCCGCCGAGGGCGGCACCACCTCCTCCCCACCCGCCAGGCAACTGCGGGGAGGGGAGGGGAAGGCACGACCCACCACAGACGAGGGGGGGTCCTACCCACGACTCCCCCCCCCCGCCCACCCGGCAAGTTAGTGCCAGTATTCCAGGGCTCCTTCAGCTCCACAGGTGGGATCTGGATACGGATCACGTCCCCGACCCGCTGCCTTCATATCAAGCTCAATGACACGTTTTATTTATATCCGAATGAACTGTGGCCGTGTTGCTAGTTGTTGTTTTTTAATTACTGATGATATGATAATGTGACCAGATTGGATGGGGGAACAGAGACGGGATGGTTTTGTGCTACATCTCCAGCTGCTAAAGTTGGGGGAACGGGGTGAATGGGCGAGTTCGACTGGTGCCCGTCAGAAAAGAGAAAGGGAACTTTCTCCCCCCACCCCTGTCCCCTGCACTGACCCCAACATCCGCTAGAATAAAAGTTCAAGAAGTCTTTTCCCCTTTTAGAAACAATCACACACATGAATTTACAGGTTCCCAATTGCTGGCCTAGATCAGTGTTTCCCAAACTTAGGTCTCCAGCTGTTTTTTTGGACTACTTCTCCCATCATCCCGAGCTAGCAGCACCAGTGGTCCGGGATGATGGGAATTGTAGTCCAAAACCAGCTAGAGACCCAAGGTTGGGAAACCCTGGTCTAGAGCAAGGATGGCCTTGTACTGCCCTTCAAATATTGATGTACTCCAACTCCCATCATCCCTGCCCGTTGGGCATGGTGGCTCTGGCTGATGGGACTTGAAGTCCGATGACTTCTGGGGTGCCTCTGCTGTCTTTCTGAGAAGCTGGCATTGAAACATGAGCTAAGAAGAAGTCCCTGATCATTTACCAGAAGGCGATTGCCAGCGCATTGAGCTCCAGCTTACCAGCCAAAGAATATCTCGTGAATTGTTGACTGATGGTGCCAACTCAGAAAGCTTGCAGAGGTAGGGAAAGGACGTCGGACATCTGGATGTTTGTCAGTCCTTCTTATGCCCCTTCCCCCAGTTGCTGCCAACAGAGAAGAAAGCCTTTGGAGGTCATGACACACATGCACCCCCCCAAAAAAAAATACTTGAGTACATTCCATGAGTCCTGCTCCAATAGTATTCTCTCGCCAGCTAGCTCTTGGTATTGCCAAACGCGGGGGTCCCTAGAAAAGGTGTTGCTGGACAACAAGTCCCATCATCCCTGCCCCTTGGACCATCCTAGCTGGGGCTGATGGGAGTTAGGAACCCAGCAACAGCTGAAGGTCCTTTGATTCCGCATCTGGGCTCTCTTTGAATGATGTAGAGGAAGAGAAGGCATTGCCACCCCTGCAGGCTCCGAAGCACAGTGGCCTCAGCAGTGGAAGCTGGTCCATTTTGGTGAATGGGGCATTGCCCCATCAACCTCAGCTTGCCCCCGCCCCATCACCGCCTGCCTTCTTACAACCAGGCAACGGTGGCGACCCTGCCTGTCAACTTTAGTCTCTGCGTCGTCCTTGTAGGACGCAAGAAGGCGGATTAGAATTCGCTGCCTGGACTCCATGCCCTTCTGCCCTGCCAGTCCCAATGGGTATCAGCCACCCCTGGCCCCAGGAGGGCCTGGTTCTCCCAGCACCCCATAGAAAGGGGGCAGCGGTGGCGGGGCTGCTATGGTGGTGAGGCAGTGGGTGATGGGAGGGCAGTCTGTACTGGGTGCCTTGGCATTGGCCTGCCACTGCTGACTCCTAACACCAGCCCTGGGTGGGGATGACATTCGCCCTTCCCCATCCTACGCTCATGCCTTCTGTGCTTCCCCCCTGCTAAAGTCCGCATCCGAAAGATCTGTTGCGATCGGTGTTTTTCTTACTCGTGCTGATAAAAGCTTCTTTTGAACCAAAGTTGGGGGACCCACTCCCCTGACCTCCATAAATGTTTCTGCTGAGTCAGGAGAGTCGAATTAATTCCCACACGTACACCCAGCCCATAATATTAACTCATTCCATAGAATTCACTTGTTTACATGGGGGGGGGAGTGAAAGAGGGATATGATAAACAGAAGCGATAGCCCCTTTCTAGAACCTGTTTCTTGTGTCCCAGGTGGAAAAGGGACTCGCCAGCTAAACAGAGAACTGGTCAGAAGGACCTACCTGCCCTCTCTCTGGCACTGCTGGAAGGTGGGCAACGCAGGGGTGAGGTTGGTGCAAACGCGTCTGCAGGAGCACAAGACTGGTTCTGCTGGTGTGTTTGCGCTGCTGCAGCCTCGCCCCCTGCCGTTTGCCGTAAGCTGCAGTGACACTGATGTTAGGAGTCAAGGGGAGCAGTACCACCGCTCTGCTGTCTGGTGCTCCTTTTCAGATTCTCTTTTCTCCTCCCTCTCTCCTTGGAAGTTTCCTCCCTTTTTCCTCCTTTTGAAGACCCTAACGACCCTTTTGAAGACTCGCTGGAGAAACTTGTAGGCTTAGCAGACACTACGCTGGCTCACTCGTGCTTTTTTCTGTACTAGGAAGGGACCTTTCCCCAGGTGCCAAGGAAACTCGCCTACGATTCCATTATGGATCTGTGCCAAATGTTGTGCGTCTCTCGTCCTTTTTCAGTACACGTGGGGGCCTTTCCCTCCCCCCCTTTTGCTCCAGTCTTTGCTAGCTATTGTACTGTGGACTAACTAAATGCAGCCAGCTGTTGATAGGGGAAGCGGTTAGTACAGGGACCGTCAGTGTGCTGCCCTCTGGATGGGGTGGACTACATTTCCCATCATCCTTGACTGTTGGCACTGCTGGCTGGGTCTGATGGGAGCTGCAGTTGAAGGCAGCCAGAGGGCACCTTCAGGGTTTGAGAACAAATCCCAGGCAGATCTGTTTCCCAACCACCACATATTTTAAGGTGCAGTCCAGTTGCAAAACTAATAAAACGATAAGCCTGCTCTGAAGAAGCTGTGGGCTGCAGCTGTACCACTACGTGAAACCCTTTGAATGAGAATTAAGTTTCATCTGTCCAAACACACCTTTATGAGCATATTGGCTACAAGTGATAGAACAGGGGTGGGGAGACCTGTAGAGCAGTGTTTCCCAACCTTGTGCCTCCAGCTGTTTTTGGCCTACAATTCCCATCATCCCTTGCCACTGGTCTTGCTAGTCAGGGATGATGGGAGTTGTAGGCCAAAAACATCTGGAGGCACAAGGTTGGGAAAACACTGCTGTAGAGCTCAGATATTGCTCTACAGTGGTACCTTGGTTTACGACCATAATCCGTTCCAGAGGTCCGTTCGTAAACCAAATCAGGTTGTAACCCAAGGTGCGCTTTCGCCAATGGGGCCTCCAAAAAAAATTCTCCGTCATCCCCCAAAATTGTTCGTAATCCAAAAAAAGTTCGCAAACCGGGACACGCACTTCCGGGTTTGACGTGTTCGTAATCCAAAACGTATGCAAACCAGACTGTTCGCAAACCAAGGTACCACTGTACTAGAATTCCCATCATCCCTGACTGCGGGTGATGGCAGCTGTAGTCCAGCAACATCTGGAGAATTTACAGGTTCCTCATCCTTACAGTAGACTTTACTTGCTGCATAATTTCAGTATCACAGAAATGGGGATCCTGGCTGTGTCCCTGCCCATATTTCCACACATGTTCACCCCAACCATTTATGTAGGTGTGCTGTTGTAGACAGCTCCACTTCCTATGGCAGGGACGGAGAACCTTTGGGCTTTCAGATAGGGGCTTCAGCCCCAGCAAGCATGGCCAATGGCCAGGGATGATAGGAGTTGTAGCCAACCAACACCTGGACTCTTAACTGTCCTGCAGGCTTGGATAACAGGTGTCCAGGCTATGTTTTTGTGCTGACCATGTGGCAAGCAAAGGCAGGTGATGCATTGGGATGGGGATTTTGTTGCTTGTGGGGGTGTGTGGTTTTGGTTTTTTTTACACAGACCGAGGATTTCTGAATTGAATGTGTTTTTTGTTTTTATTTTAATTCACTGTCTGCACCGGCAGCCTGATACTAGAATGGTTTTGGAACTTCTCAGCCCTGCGGCGAGGACGCCAACCAATAAAGCCAAAGTTGCCTGTTTTAGTGAGTCGCTTGGCAGTTTGTGTTTCACTTGGAAGGGCACTGCAACTGCCCCCTCTCTCTGCCTTGCAGGAGGAATTCCTGCTCCTCTAGTGGGCAATGAATAGGTAAAGGGTAAAGGGACCCCTGACCATTAGGTCCAGTCGTGACTGACTCTGGGGTTGTGGGGCTCATCTCGCTTTATTGGCCGAGGGAGCCGGCGTACAGCTTCCGGGTCATGTGGCCAGCATGACTAAGCCACTTCTGGCGAACCAGAGCAGCGCACAGAAACGCCGTTTACCTTCCCGCCGGAGCGGTACCTATTTATCTACTTGCACTTTGATGTGCTTTCGAACTGCTAGGTGGGCAGGAGCAGGGACCGAGCAACGGGAGCTCACCCCGTCGCGGGATTCGAACCGCCAACATTCTGATCGGCAAGTCCTAGGCTCTGTGGTTTAACCCACAGCGCCACCTGCGTCCCAGGCAATGTATGCCTGCACCTCAATGCTTGCACATGCACACAAACATAAGAGGCTGCAGGATCAGGCCAATGGCCCTTCTGGTCCAGCATCACAGTGGCCCAGATGCCTTTGGGAAACCCAAGGCCCAAGCACAAGAACCCTCTTCCTTCTGGTATTCAGAAGTTTTCCTGTTTCTGACTGTGAAAGGCAGAGCAAAGCCACTGTGACTACAAAGACTGGGCAATAATCTGGTTTTCAACATCGCGATATATCACCAACTTCTGTGATATATCACCAGCTAAGCATCGCGAGATACTGATATATCACGATGTCTGAAACAAGGATGGAGCTGGTTTTCAACTAAACATCTGTGATCTATCTCCTGCTCAACATTGTGATATACTTACTGACAGATCACAGTGTCTGAAATAAGGATGGAGCTATGTAGAGACATTGGCTGGCTTCACGGTTTCCCCCACATTGTGGTTTTTGCATATCACACACACACACCATGATTTGCAATACATTGACAGGTCAAAAATTATGAAACCAATATCATGAGATGGACTTGAAACCGGTTTGGGATGATATTTTGCCCAGCCCTAACACACATTAAGATCAGAAGAACTTTGCTGGCGATCAGGCCAAAGCCATCGACACCAACATCCTGTTCTTGCCTTTGACCAACCAGGTGCCTCGAAGAAGCCAACAAGTGGGACACGGGTGCAAGAGCACTCACGCCTAACTACTGTTTCTTGGCAGCTCTTAAGAGCGCTCTTGACTTTTGTTTGCTTCTGGGAGATGTGGGGATGTGTTGTGCTCCACATAGTACAGTGGTACCTTGGTTCCTGAACTCAATCCGTTCTGGAAATCCATTCGATTTCCAAAATGTTCGAAAGCCAATTGGCTGATTGACCCCAGAAACAATGCCGACAGCCGAAACAGATGTTCGGCTTCCCAAAAATGTTCGCAAACGGGAACACTTACTTCTAGGTTTGCGGCATTCAGGAGCCGATTTGTTCAACAACTAAGCCATTCGGGAACCAAGGTACCACTGTACCTTCAGTCCAAAGGGCTCTCACCAAAATGCTCACAATTGAGGGCAGGGCTGCACAGTCCAACCAAGCCCAGAGAATCAGTCTAGGCCTAAACACGATCTAGGGGGCAAGGTCAGGCAGACACCCCCAGTCAGTATCACAAAGGGTTCATTCAGCAAGGAGAGGACACCAAGACTTGCATGCTAAAGAACAAGGAACCAGAAGCCTCTGATGTTCCCAGCCACTGAAACACTCACTAGGGACCGCTCGGCCACATTTACAGCATACCACTTAAAAAGTCATGGCTTCCTCCAAATAAATCTGGGAGCTGTGGTTTATTGAGGGTGCTGAGAGTTGTTAAAAGACCTCCTCCTAGTCCCAGGGCTACAATTCCCAGAGTTCCCTGGGATCAATCATTAAGTCACTCTGCAAATTGTAGCTCTGTTGGGGAACAGGGGTCTCCTAACAACTCTCAGCACCTTGGCTAAACCACAGCTCTCAGAATTCTTTGGGGGAAGCCATGACAGTTTAGAGTGGTATAAAGGTAAAGGGACCCCCTGACCATTAGGTCCAGTCGTGACCGACTCGGGTTGCGGCGCTCATCTCACTTTACTGGCCGAGGGAGCTGGCGTACAGCTTCCGGGTCATGTGGCCAGCATGACTAAGCCGCTTCTGGCGAACCAGAGCAGCGCACGGAAATGCCGTTCACCTTCCCGCCGGAGCGGTACCTATTTATCTACTTGCACTTTGACGTGCTTTCGAACTGCTAGGTTGGCAGGAGCAGGGACCAAGCAACGGGAGCTCACCCCGTCGTGGGGATTCGAACCGCCGACCTTCTGATCAGCAAGTCCTAGGCTCTGTGGTTTAACCCACAGCGCCACCCGCGTCCCTTTAGAGTGGTATAGTAATGCTTTAAATGTTGTTGTTGTTTGTATGCCACCCATCTCTCTGGCTTGTCCCAACCCATTCTAGGTGGCTCCCAACAGAGTATGACAATTGCAATCAAACAATAAAAACTTCCCGAAACAGGCCTGCCTTCAGATGTCTTGCTCGGGGGTTGCATAAATATGTGATTGAGATCAAAACTGATAGATAGGTCCACTCATCTCTAGAGAGGACACACTTTTTAAACACACACACACACACACACAGAGAGAGAGAGAGAGAGAGAGAGAGGAGGAGGAGGAGAAACCATTCAATCAATCTCTCTTCCCAGGGAATGAAAGTCACGTTAAGATCAGACTTTTGTGATATGGAAAGTGACGGGGAACTGAGAAGGGTGGGATAATTCTAGCTTTGTTGCAGCATCATTATATTTCAATTTACCAGTCGCTTTTTTCTTGCCACGGCAACTCACAGTGACTTCCAAAAAAAGAAAGCAAAACCCCCACATACATACATTAAAACTGAGACGATAATAACGCAACAGCATCGCAACTTCCCCGCAACCAAATTGGAAAGAATGCTAATTAATTACCCAACGTCACCTCATCTCCCTGCAAAGAAGAAGAGTCAATAAGCAGTTTGTCTGGAATATGCATATATATAAGTCACCATGAGGGTCTTTTGCCTTTTTTAAACAAATATTTCCAGATTCTCAGAGAATCTGGCTTTAAGACCCAGGAGAAACTTTTACACATGAACTGAAAGGAGGGGAATAACTTTTTTTGGAAGGGGGTGGTGGTGGTGCTAAATGTCCAGCCAATCCCCTTGTGTGCATTGGGAACAACACCCGTTCGATGTTGTTTCTTGTATAAAAGGCCACCACCAGTTCGAAGCCCAGTTGAGCGGTGACAGCTTTTGCTGCCAGCCGTCCATGAAAGGGGCGAAAGCCAAAGAGCCTTCTCTTCAAGCAGCAAAAATCTCTCCAGCGACCCAGATGCCAATGCTCAGTCACTGAGGACCGCTTGCCAGCGCCGCCGGTCTCTTAAATAAGAGGCGTCTTTCCTTCCTCTCGCACGCCGTCAGCCGGGTAGATGAGAAGTTCGAGGCTTCCACCCAGTCGCTTCTGTCGTGGGACATCATGCTGTTTTAATCCTTTGCCTGGGGAGCCTATTCCCTCCGTGGAGGGCCTGGCTTTGGAGCGGGAGCGAGTGCGAAAGAGAGAGAAACCGGGTGAAACGCCTGGAGAGCTGTTGAAGGCCGTCCGGTCTGACTTGTGGTGACGAAAGGTCGTCCACACTCGGCGATTCCTAGCAGCTGGTTTCGTAGGGCAGGCAAGCCATGAGGGAACCGGGAACCGGTGTGGGGTACCAGCTAGTCTTCTGCATGTGGCTTCTGGTGCACGGCCTCACCGAGGGTGGATGTGGCGACCGAGAGGCCCACAAATGCTGCCCGGGCCGGAATAACGATTGCTCCGATTTTTCTCTGAGGAAAACACCGTGTTACTGTGACACCTACTGCGAGAAAACTGGGGATTGCTGCGAAGATTATCACTCCGCCTGCCAGATCTCGGGTGAGTTGGCACTTCTGGGTGAGAAGGAATGACTGCAGAGGGATGTCTCTGTCACATTTTAATACAAAACATCCAAATTTGCACTCCTGAAACGCAGCCTGAAACAAATGATAGCAATCTGTCCGAATTTGCATTTCCTTGAATTTTGCAGTGTGGTTCCCCAACCAAATAACATACCCAGAAACATGTATGTTAGGGGAAAGTGTGTGTAAAACTGCGTCTCTTAGCGAAAATAGATGTATAAAAATGCATTTCCTTGTGGGGGCTAGTTTGTAAAAAATGGGTTTATTGGGATGAATTCTCACAAAGTTGTGGGGGGACTGACTGGAAAAATGGGAAACAGAAAACAAAATTGACATCTTCATCAACCCCTGCCTGGTTCCTGTGTAATCATGTGGTGTAGTGGTCACAGCATCAGGACTAGGACCTTGAGAGACCTGGGTTCGAATTCCCACTTGGCCATGAAGTTCACCTTGGAGGCCAGTCACTGCCTCTCAGCCTAGCCTCCCTTGCTGGGTTATTGTATTAATGGAGGGGCCTCATTTAATAAGCAAACAAGCAAACAAATAATCTTTTTAAAGCTCTTCACAGCTTGGGATCAAGGTATCTACTGGGTCACTCACAGCTGGGAGCACTTAGATAATTTTGGAATCTGAACTTAATGGCCTGTGGAGATGCCCCTGTACAGACAGTAACATGGATGACTTCATTTACTTCAAAACAAAGTCAGCCAACCCTATCACATTTGGGATTCTCTGCTGACCATAGACATCATCATCATCATCATCATCTTGTTATTGTTATTATTTCTTACCATCTGAGGATCACAGAGGGGTTTACATTATAAAAACACAAAAATACGTATCATAGTAACAAACAAAAACAATACCCCCTCCCCAAAATTAAAAGGCCTTGGATTGTTTAATTCGCCAAAGACCTGAGAGAAGATAAAATCACCCCTGCAGGGACAAAACACGTTGGTTAAGGCCCTACCTACACTTAACACATTCAGAGAAATATCATACCATTTCAAACAGTTGTGGCTTCCCTCAAAGGATCCGGGGAGCTATAGTTTGTTAAGGGCTGTTCAGAGACTGCTATTCTCCTCACAAAACTAGAAATCCAAGTTCCCTGGGGAGAGGGACTGATGGTTAAACTACTCTGGGAATTGCAGCTCTGAGGGGAATAGGGGGTCTCCTAACTACACTCAGCATTTTTGTTTGTTTGGTTTGTTTGTTTGTTTGTTTGTTTGTTTGTTTGTTTGTCTGTCTGTCTGTCTGTCTGTCTGTCTGCCTTAATTTTTTTATTTCATTTTGACAAAGTAATAATCATAAATAAATAAATAAATAAATAATAATAATAATAATAATAATAATAATAATAATAATGTGCACCCCATTATAACTATCCAACCTCCCAAAATTCCAACACCCCTTGCAGTAGTTTGACCCCCTTTCTGTTTTAACAGTACAAATTCTACAAACACACTTCATATCTCCTCAGAATCATTTCTCCTGCATATTCCCTGTCTTACCTTAATGGCACATGCTAATTTATCATTAACAGCTATATCCCACACCTCTTTATACCATTCTTCCATTTTATATTCTGCTTTCCCCTTCCACTTCCTAGCTACAATAATTCGTGCAGATGTCAATAAATTTGTGAGCAAGTCAGCATTTTTAAGAAACTACAGTTCCCAAGATCCTTGGGGGTTGGGGTTGGGGAAGCCACGATTGTTTAAAGTGGTGTGAGCTAGCTTCAAATGTGCACAGTAGACCCACTGAAATTAATGAACAGGGCTTAAATAAAGTCTATAAATTTCAATAAAGTCTTCTCTCTAAGTATATCTCGGTTGGATCCAGTGGTCCAAAGCTTTCAGCACAGAACTGCGGAACAGATGCAATCTGTTTGTAGCGCACCGTTCTCAGCCCAGCAATCGACTCACCCTAAAACCCAAATCCTCTCCCTCCCATTTACCAGCCCCCTCCCCTGGCCAATCGGAAGCCTCTGGCCAAGCTTGTGAATGGTCCTGAATAGGTCTGGCATCTCTGTTCTCACACATGGCTTCCCACATTGATGCGGAGAGTCCAGGTTTACTGTCAACAGAAAGGCAGCGAGGACAGTTTTGAGCGCACACAGCCTTACGACGTGCGGCAGGAAGAGGATCTGATTGTGTGTATGTGTTTGTGTGTGCGTAGAGATGCCCTACAAAATTTGCATCGGCATCCTTTTAAAATGGGTTGAGGAGGGGTGGATTACTGGGTTTTTTGCTTTTGTTTTTTAATTTTTATTTGGTTTTACGAAGTATGAAATTATAACAATACCACTATACATTTCCACATTTACAGATTCCTCCAAATCTCTGGACTTCCCACCCCCCCTCTATGGGTTCTATACAATGCTTTTTTTCTGGGGGTACGTAGGGGTACGCATACCCCTAAACATTTTGTGAATCTAAGTTTGTTTTTTGTTTTTTTTAAATCATATTTATTGAAGTTTCCAAAAAATCCAAAACATAAAAAAGAAGAAAAGGGGGAAAAAAGAGAGAAAAGAAAAAGGAAAAAAGCATTTAAAACCTTATTTTCATTAACATCTTTCCAGGACTTCCCCACCCCTCCCCCTCTTGTATTCCATTTCCATTAGATTAGTTCCACAAGTTTTTACCCCAAATTTAAAACTTATTATATTTAACCCAATATTCAATTTAGTTCATCTTGTATAATCACTTTCCCTTAAAAATCCACCTCATTTGGCCTCATTGAGGGGAAGTATTTCAATATGATTAGCAAAATGAGAATACCCCTAAACTTTTTCTTTCTTTCTTTTTAGAAAAAAAAACACTGGTCCTATTATTGAGCCTTTTCTACTGCATCTTTCCCCATAGTCTATATTTTATATCATGGGTAGGCAAACTATGGCCCGGGGGCTGGATCCAGCCCAATTGCCTTCTAAATCCAGCCCACGGACAGTCTAGCAATCAGCGTGTTTTTACATGATTAGAATGTGTGCTTTTATTTAAAATGCATCTCTGGGTTATTTGTGGGGCATGGGAATTTGTTCATTATTTTTTTTCAAAATATAGTCCGGCCCCCCACAAGGTCTGAGGGACAGTGGACTGGCCCCCTGCTGAAAAAGTTTGCTGACCCCTGTTTTATATCACTCCAATGTCTCCATAGTACTTGCTACATTACAAGTGTTAATGTAATGATGCTAATGTTTTCATCTGCTTACAGAAGGTCGGTGGTTCAAATCCCCGCCACGGGGTGAGCTCCCGTTGCTCGGTCCCTGCTCCTGCCAACCTAGCAGTTTGAAAGCACATAAAAGTGCAAGTTGATAAATACCGTATTTTTCGCTCTATAACACGCACCTGACCATAACACGCACATCGTTTTTAGAGGAGGAAAACAAGGGAAAAAACATTCTGAATGAAACAGTGGATGTATCATTTTTGTGCTTCATGCTGTGGCCACAGACATGTGATCTGATGGTGAATTTGGGGTGACCCAATGCAAAGATCCTGAGGATCCATGTGGATCCATGCTTTTTAACCATGTTTTTGCACCATTGCAGCCCCAGGCAACAGTGGGTGCGTGATTTTTGGGGGGCAGGCTCTAGCCATGGACATGCTATGTGATCTGATGGTGAATTTGGGGTGACCCAATGCAAAGATCCTGAGGATCCATGTGGATCTATGCTTTGTAACCATGTTTTTGCACCATTGCAGCCCCAGGCAACAGTGGGTGCGTGATTTTTGGGGGGCAGGCTGTAGCCATGGACATGCTATGTGATCTGATGGTGAATTTGGGGTGACCCAATGCAAAGATCCTGAGGATCCATGTGGATCCATGCTTTTTAACCACGTTTTTGCACCATTGCAGCCCCAGGCAACAGTGGGTGTGTGATTTTTTTGGGGCAGGCTGTAGCCATGGACATGCTATGTGATCTGATGGTGAATTTGGGGTGACCCAATGCAAAGATCCTGAGGATCCATGTGGATCCATGCTTTTTAACCACGTTTTTGCACCATTGCAGCCCCAGGCAACAGTGGGTGTGATTTTTTGGGGGGCAGGCTGTAGCCATGGACATGCTATGTGATCTGATGGTGAATTTGGGGTGACCCAATGCAAAGATCCTGAGGATCCATGTGGATCCATGCTTTTAACCACGTTTTTGCACCATTGCAGCCCCAGGCAACAGGGTGGTGTTGTTTTTGTGGGCTGCGTGATTTTGGGGGCAGGCTGTAGCCATGGACATGCTATGTGATCTGATGGTGAATTTGGGGTGACCCAATGCAAAGATCCTGAGATCCATGTGGATCCATGCTTTGTAACCACGTTTTTGCACCATTGCAGCCCCAGGCAACAGTGGGTGTGTTGGTGATTTTTGGGGGCAAGGCTGTAGCCATGCTTTTTAACACGTTTTGCACATTGCCCCCAGGCAACAGTGGTGTGTTTGTGATTTTTGGGGGCAGGCTGTAGCCATGGACATGCTATGTGATCTGATGGTGAATTTGGGGTGACCCAATGCAAAGATCCTGAGGATCATGTGGATCCATGCTTTTTAACCACGTTTTTGCACCATTGCAGCCCCAGGCAACAGTGGGTGTGTGATTTTTGGGGGGCAGGCTGTAGCCATGGACATGCTATGTGATCTGATGGTGAATTTGGGGTGACCCAATGCAAAAGATCCTGAGGATCCATGTGGATCTATGCTTTGTAACCACATTTTAAGTGGGGAGGGAAGGAAAAACAAAGAAGGGAAAAGGAGCATGAGAGGGGTGTGCAGAGAAGCAGCTGGCTAAGAATGCAGGAGAGGGATTTAACGGGAGGGAGGAAAGAAAGGCAAAAGTTTCCCCCCACCCAAGCACCCAAACCAGCCAGCTCTCTCTCTCTCTCTCTCTCTCTCTCTCTCTCTCTCTCCCCCCCCACCTGCATGTTGCCTGCTAGTCCCTAGACACAGCACCGGAGCACAGAGAGGAATTAGAAGGAACGACTCTG